AATTGTGCATGAGTTTCTGTGTGGGTTTTACAATGCAGTACGTCAAATACAGAGTCCATATTTCAGATTGCAGATATATTTGACTTGTGCATGAACAGTAGAAACCTGATGTATTTCTTGTGTCAGGGTTAACTCGGTGTCTTGCCAGTTATTGTCATGCACTTTGTGATACATCTTACCCTCTCGTCCCCATATCCGGATGGCCTTGTCGCCTCCGCATGAGGCCAGCAGGGTCCCGGTCGGGCTCCAGCTCACGAACCAGCACCGAGAATCCGGGTGTGCGCTCAGCCTCTGAACCAGGGTCAAACCCTCCTTCATAATCTGAGCTGGTAATATATTTAATGTAAACTCTGAGTGTCGTCGTGTCTGGTACCGCTGAGAGATGAGATAACAAACACTGCGACGCGCTGTGACGAACTAAACCAACATGTCCGCGTCAGTGTGAGAGCAGGAACACATCACAGGAATTATTTTTTTTGCACAGTTGAAAAAAGTAGCAGAGTTCACCAAAACCAACGATGCCGGAAATGCCCGCAATCTTCACTTCATGTTTGCTCTCTTTCCGATGCATTGTGGGGCTTTCTTCTTCTTGTTTTGTAGTTTAACCGCGGGGTGTTGGCGGATTTTAGGCACATTACCGCCACCTTCTGGACAGATTTATATCTCCATGATCGTCACATTACTTAATAAAATACTTCTAGATTATTATACTACTAGACTTATATATATTAGACTTAACCATACTTTCGCATGTTTCTATTAATATTTACAGTCTGTGATAAATACACGCTCTGTCCACATTATGAACTCTACCTTTCTCTACTTTATTCATCAGGTATGATTTCTGAAGGACTTTGTTTACTTTTTTGCCATGCAGTATACCTAATAAGAATCAGATTTATTGGCCAGGTATACTTACGCATACAAGGATTTAGACTTCCATAGACCGTTTTCTTTTCTTTTCTTCTCCAACATTAAATATTAAACAATAAACAAACAAATAAACAAAAACCTACATTAGACAATAGTGCAGTGGTGAAAAGTGCTAAATATCCTTAAACCAACATGGTAATAACCATTGTAATAAGGCGACAAATGGGCTTATTTAGGCTACATGAGGTTGACAGTTTCATAATATTTACATTAAGGGAGTGTGAATTGATTTATGCCAAAATTAATCAATCATATCGTAAACCAAAACAAAAACACTATATGGAAAATAATGGTATCCAAACAGAAATTATAAATCGTTAATTTGGGGAGTCATTACAAAATAGTTAGGTTATACATACCTGGTATTATTCTATTATTGTATTTGTTTATTTAACTTATGTACATATGTTTGATTTTTATTCTTAATAATTTTATTATTTTTTTCCTGTTTTCTTGAGCAGCTGTATTGAAAAAGTTTCCCCCATGGGGGATCAATAAAGTTTATCGTTATCTTTACTCGGACCCTACTCTCAGAGTCGTTTTTCATTAATAACCTTCTTTCTGTTTTGCATAGTAAGCCATTTTTCTTATAATAAGACACTCTTTTCTTTTATAAAGCTATCTCCCTTAACGCAAAATAAATAATTGATCTAATCTAATTTTATCGGCAATCCTGTTTTTAAACTGTGTCTTTTGGAGAGTCACCGCTAGGCGGAGGCACCGATAACCAACATCGTTTACACTGCTTCGTAATGAACCAACGAAGAAGAATGTTGTGAACAAGGAAGTCAATATTTTACGGGAAGCCAGCGTAAGCTTCCTTTTGTTTTGTTTTGTCTTTGTTTTTCTGTACCACGTTGATGGGATTTTTTCGTCAAGGGATTTAGCTAGATTAGTAATTGGTTAAATTGTACCTTTATTTTTTTCTATTAAGTTTACTTTTATGACATTTTGTGATCGTTGTGAGCTAGCTCGACAAGCTAACCACCAAGCTAACAGGCCTGAAGGCCATCACTCTATTGTCTACCCGTCAAACAGAAACCTCTCCTTTTCATACAGAGCAGCTAGTGTTACGCTTCAACGTGGTTTGTAAAAACAAAGTTGTCAGTCTGAGCAAAGCGCCTGTGAAGCTGTCATCGTCCATCAGCAGGTGAAATAAACACAGCAGGTTTGTTGACCTTACTGAAGAATCGCTTCACAGCTACAATCAAAAATCATCTGACAACACAAGGAAGTCAACACTAACACGGACGACCAGGAGTTTGGAGCACTATGTATGCCCCGCCGGGATCTGCTGCTCCTGGAGGCCGGAGGAGGAGAGGGGGGACCTCCGTGCCGAAGCAGCCGGAGCGGAGTCTGGTGTCGGCTCTGCCCGGAGCTCTGTCCATCACGGCGCTCTGCACGGCTCTGGCGGAACCGGCCTGGCTACGGGTTCACGGAGGCACCTGTCCAAGACAAGAGCTGGGGGTGGCAGATGTGCTGGGGTACATTGATCCCAAACTATTGGACGGTGAGGACCAGTACAAGCCCCCCCCTTTCACAGTATGTAGATTAAACTGGTCGCTCACTTGTAATAATCTGTCTCTTCATGTCCTCCAGATTACTGTGTGAACCCGCAGACCATCCTCCTCCTGAGGGTGATCGCTGCCTTCTGCTTCCTGGGTATCCTGTGCAGTCTGACTGCTTTCCTTTTGGATGTGTTTGGACCCAAGCACCCTGCACTCAAGATCACACGCAGATATGCATTTGCACATATTTTAACAGGTATACATCTACCATGCTGGAGTTATTGTCAGATCATTTTCTGTGTGTCATTTTTGCGTACCTAATTGTGTTCCTTGTCTCTCATTAGTGTTACAGTGTGCCACAGTGATAGGCTTCTGCTACTGGGCCTCAGAGCTCATCCTGTCACTACAGCAGCAGCATAAAAAGTACCACGGGTCTTTCATATACGTCACTTTTGCCATCAGCTTCTACCTGGTGGCAGGAGCAGGAGGAGCCTCCATCCTTGCCACAGCTGCGAACCTCCTGCGCCATTACCCCACTGAGGAGGAGGAGCAGGCTTTAGAGCTGCTCTCTGAGATGGAAGACAGCAGTGAAACGTTTCCTGCTGATTATGACATTGCTAATCAGTTTCAGCCCCCGCCTGCCTACACGCCCTAATGCCACAAGACTGACCTTGTTAACACACGCTTCTCTCTCTCAGCACGGCTATTGGCTTGATGAGCAAATCCCAATCTTTATCAAACGGATATATTCGCAAAATACCCTCCACAATGAACACAGTGTGCACAGATGGCGCAAAAACTTCTTTACTGAAAGAGCTTGGGTGCATGAAAGCTTTCTTTAGTGGTGGCAGAAATTTAGGATTTGATTCTTACTTTCACCACTAAAGTTGTTAGTGATTTGCATGTAAATGGCTTTTAGGATTTGGTTCTTACATGTGAAGCAAATTAAACTAAGAAGTGCTCAATATGGCTCATCATATGTAATTGATGAAGCAGCCACAGCTGGATCAGTGCCATTTATTGAGGCTGGGCTGTCGGCACATTGTCCGCGGTTGAATTGCTCTTGGTTGGACATGGATAGGGCTTTGTTAAGCATCATTTTGATGTCATTTTTTTAAGCTTGTTGTGAATGGTTTTAATTTGACCCAAACATCAGAAATTCAGACATACACTGAGAAGTTTGTTTTAGACATTTCTTTTATATTAAATCAAATGGACCCTATTATTTATTATTTAGCTCTTTGTGCTGTGTATTTCTTCCTTCCTTTTGCTTTTTAGACATCAGTCACTGGTTTAGTCTTATTTCATCACATCTATACTTAAATTAACACAAGGATAATTTTGTGGGAACGATGTATGTGGTGTTTTAAAAAAGATCAGCCTGGGACTGTGCTGCGTGTTGAGAGTGAGCCACTGAGAGAAATGCAGAAATGTTTCTGTATGTTTCACAATGAGGACATTTAGTAACCTTTGAGCCTTGTTGCAAAAGTTGGTTTTGTCAAGTTTCTTGTATTTGATTTATGAAAGAAACCTTATTTGTACTTTGTGATTACCATGCGTGACAGTGTGAGTATGTGTTTTCTATGCATGGGTTCTTTTGTGTGCGAATTTTAAACCCTTCAGACAGAAACTCTTGAGAAAATCTCCCACAAGGTTTCAGCTGAGGCTTAAAAATTGTGATGTGGTGACTCTAGTTGACTGTTTGTTGTTTAGTTTTCTCAATTTCTGCGTTGTGTTCCTCAAGTTGTTGCTTTACTTTCATCACCAGTATGTAAATATTGATTGTTTATACATAAAAGTGGTCATAATAAAAGAAATGCCATATCTTGCCTCATGTTTCTCATCTGTAACTTAACCTTGATTTATCAAAAATGTTTCCCATTGGCATTCTGTTTGTAGACTCTGTAGTTTTGACTGGAGAGAATATTGAGTGTGACATTTCTGTCTGATCAGGGTATTTCTGGGTTTGCTGTCTGGACCTTTGAGACACAACATGGCATTACAGCGAGTAAGAGCCTTACACCCTAATAGACTTTAAAGGGCATAGAGTATACCTTCTTTCACATTCATTGCTATCCTATAGAAAGCCATTAAGAAGTTATTTCTTTCTGCTTCTTTTTAGAAGAAGAAGCAGAAAGTCTTACTTACATGCAACGTCTTACTTACATGCAAGTTCATATCACTCAACTGCCCTAATGCATTCAATTATTATCAAAAGGCCTGTCATTATTTTTGCAGGCTTCCAACATCTTGATGCAGAGCCAGAGAGTTTAATTCTATAAGGGCAATGACAGTTCATGGGTTAAATCACTGCTTTAAGATTACTCTTTAAAGCTGCACTTTCAGGCTGTATCTGTCCGGGGCCAAATGAACTTAAGTTAATCAGATGAATAGACGACGTATTACAAGGGAGGGGTGATCGATAAGGAGAATAGGCCATCCAAGGCAAGGAAGTGATGCCTCTTCCAAGGAAGTGGAGCTTACGTGGTCACGTCACTTGGCCACACGGCTGGTATATATACACACCCCCAGCCAGACCAAAATTACAACCAGCGTCTGCACAGGCTTGGTGGTAATCTGTTGTCTCATTTACCTTCCAAAAACAGTGAACCTGAAGCTGAATCATGCTTGCAAGCAGGACTATTCTGTCAAAGCAAACTTTGACTGTCCTCTCTCGCCAGCCTACCTGCTTTGTTCACCAGGGGGACTATGGCAACTGGGGAAATACCAATATTGCACTGGTGAGTGTAATGTGTGCATTTGTGTTGGAGTGCGTAGGTATATTCATAAGTGTGGTCATGGTTGTGATATGCGATTTTGCTGCAGGTCTTCTCAGGATGTGGCTGGTGGGATGGGACTGATGTCCATGAGGGAGTTTAGTGAGTATCATTCCTACCGGGCTTGGGACAGACATTTCACACTATTTCATGAATGCATCACTATACAAAGAAAGTAACACATAACTCTGTCTGCAGCACCATGTACCACCTGAGCCGTAATGGTGCTCGCTTCCAGATGTTTGCTCCAAACCAACAGCAGATGCATGTGATCGACCATGTCAAAAAGCAGCCCAGCTCTGGAGAGAACCGGTAGGCTTGTTTGGTAAAACTTTCAAAAGGATCAGGGGGTCAGACACAGGTCCAGTGACGTGTTTTAATTTGTATTCTTGTACACCAGACTTGACTAATTCCATGCGTAGTATTTATGATTATTTCTGGCCGTCACATAGGAACATGATGATGGAGGCTGCTCGCTTCAGTCACGGCCAAGGAATGATGCAAATGCAGGATCTGTCCAAGCTGGACGTCAACAGCTTTGATGCTGTAATCTTCCCTGGAGGCCATGGCATCATTAAGAACCTGTAAGTGACGTTAACACTTTGAAAATATGTAGTGCGGAGTAAAGTACAATTAGATTGTTCACTAATTTTAATGTCTATCCCTCAACTCTTTAGGTCCTCCTTCGTGAAGGATGGAAAGGACTGCAAGCTACACGGTGATGTGGAGAGGATTCTTAAAGAATTCCACCGTTCACGCAAGCCTATTGGGTATGAATCATTTGGTCAATGTTAAAGAATTAGGCCAGAAGTGTGTGACACTGTTTTTTTTGGCTGTACATTAAATTATCACACTTACCTTTATAATCCAAACAAGAGGCAACATGCAGACAGCCTTTGATTCTTGGCACTTTAAATGAGATTAAATTCCATTACATTAGCCTAGATTAACAAAACAGATTAAAACGTTTCCTGTAATTAAATTGGGACACTGGAGCAGCAGTAGAAAGAGGAAAAGAAAATGTATAGTATACCAAGCTGACACGTAAAGAGATGTAAAGAAGGGAAACATCTCTTCAAACTAAATTTGCACACAATTCTTTATAAAGGTTGGATCAAATAAACTCCATTACAGAGAGAATTCAATTAATGTAAGGCCAAAAATAAGATACTATCAAATAATGAAATTATTAAAATAAATATCCATATGGTAGTGATAGCTGAACTTTAAAACCACAGTTTGTAGTTTATATATGCGTATTTTATGAATATTTTGAAAATGTTAATGCTTCCTGTAAAAGGTGGATAACAGCAGGTTGAGCAGGTGTAGTAAACAGTTTGTACTCTGAAAAGAAAGTCTTTGCCAGCTACTGTGAAGGTCAGTTCAGGCAAATCGATTAAAGTAGGCAGGACAGGACGGCAGCTCAGGTAACATATACTATGTGATCTGGTGAGAGGGGGGCTGATCCTTTGGCTACTATAGTTGGCACTCGTGGACTGATGGGGTAAATGTGAGGCTCCTGTGCAGCTCAAAGATGACAGGAAGATGCAGGATTACAGGAATTAAAGATTGGAGTTGAATAATAAGAGGATGAAGCAGCTGTCACCTGGACGGCATCGGGTTAACCGTTATGTTGACTTTTGACGTCAGCCATCAATTTACTCTTATAATCCTTTCCTATTGGCTATTAAGCCTATAAATGGTTTTAGCCAGGCGACAACAAAGGCCATTACAAATTTGCAGGAGGGCATTGTTGTGCAACATATGAGATTATGTCACAATCACTGTGATTAACGTGTTGTTATGCTGACACAGACACACTCCATCTGAACAATGCTCTGTTTAAACTCAGCTGTAACCATTGACCAGAAAATCGTTTGACTCAACTGTGAACAAAACAAGCTGAGCACACAATTCAACTCAGACTTACATTCTCGCCAATCATTTCTCCCCTGGTGACTAGTTTCTCTTCGGCTCCTCGCTTCGTGTGCGTCCTCAGATTTCATTAGTGTGTCTCTCCTGTCTGATTAAGAAGTCCAAAAAACAAAATGTAAACCAAACGTATGCACCCTTGGCTTACAGTTTCAAGTTCAGTTTGTTCAGAAAGTTTTGCGCGCTCAACTAATTTAATTGGTATGAGCAGATTTCAGGTGTGTACTCCAGCACTGAGGCATGTTGGACATCACTATTACAGCATCACAGGCAGATGTCACTGTGTTTTGGTGTGGCATTTGAAAGGAGCATTTAGCTTACAGATAATAGAGTCAAGGTTTGAGATGAACAGAGGGTGTGAGGTACAGTCAATTAAAACTGTTCCTCATTCCTCAATTACATTCAAAACTCAACAGACCTTTGCAAACCCCTACCAACAGAAATATTTTGTTTGTCAGTAAATCTATCAATTTTCATTTATATAGTGCCAACTCATATCAAACGTCATCTTCATAGAAAGAGCTAGAATGTTCTATTTTTAATGTTATATGAAGGCACAACAGAGAGAGAGAGAGAGAGAGAGAGAGAGAGAGAAACGTAAATAGAAATAAATATAATAGATCATAGAGACATATAGAAGCAATGGCAATAAAAAAAACATTCAAATGTGCATTATATTAGCAAACTCACTGAAATAATTATAAAATATAAGTAATACTAATAATACTTATAGCAGCAGTTGAGGTCGAGCAGACATTTGCCATCAACAAATCCAGAAGAATTTACAAGACAAGGGAGCACAAAAAACCCCAGGAACATGATTACTTACTAACAACTATTAATACGACATGAATGCATTAAAGGTAGAGACACAGAAGCTCGGTCTCCCACTGTCCCCAGCAGTCTGAGCCTATAGCAGCATAACAAAGGGGTGGGCCCAAGTCTGACCCAGAACGAACTGTAAGGGAAAGTTTTGAGCCTACATTCTTTATAGTAGAAGGGGTGTCTGCCTCTCTGACGGTGATTAGTAGATGATACCAAAAGAGAACTAAAGGCTCTACCTCCCATAGTAGGTACTGTAGGTACCACAAGCAGGCCTGCATTCTCAGAGGTAAATATTTTAGAGAGGTAATGGGCCACTCTGAGCTCCTGAAGAGGTGATAGTACCTGACCATTAAATGTTTGTAGGTGAAAAGAAGAATTTTAAATCCTAATCTAGATTATAGGAGAGAAAAGATCTTTTTCTAGTTCTTCACAATACTTTTATTTTGAACTTGCTGTAAAGTCTCAAGATATTCATTAGGGCAGTCTGATACAATGTATTTTTCGTTAAAAGGCTAAGTTTTTCTCTGATTTCAAAAGTAGGATGCAGTTTTTATTCTTTCTGACAGGAGACTTTTAATGAAAACCTTAATTTGTAAATATGGGGAAAACAGAACACAGACGATAATATGCTCCGGTGTGTTTCTGTAAAAGCCAAATACGATTTTAATCATCTTCATGCATAATACAGTATTGCTTTAGCAGTATAATCCTGCAGATAATAAGGCACAGTGGCATTGTAAGTGGGCTCTGGTATTCAGACCCGAACATTAATACAGGACCTTTAAATCTTGGCTAATTCCTTCTACAAGCATTACAGTGTATAAGCCACATGATGGCCAAATTCTACTCAGCTGTTTCTCTATCAGCATCATGGGATTATTCATGCTACAAATTACCCAATGATAGTAAAAGCTGTGTTCCGAACAATAATAATTCAAAATGGAAGCCAAGCCGAAGGTTTCTTTTTTAGCATGCAATCAAACAGATATGTTTCCTGGGTAGGAAAGCACACCATGTTACAGGTGTTTTTATTGGATGATTAGACTGTTGTTCAGCCATTACATGGTTAAACATAAAAGGGAGAATTTGTCCGATTATCAAAATGAATGTCTAAATTCTTCCTATTGACTGAACAAAAGGAACCATTATCTTGACTGGGCCCACTTACCAATTAGCTGATGGCTGTTGTTTTAAACCATCATGTTTTCATTGGTACTGTCTCCATGTTGGATTTCTGTAGTGTGGAACTAGACAGTAACAAGGTTATCAAAGCTAACAGTCTGTGCTTAAAGGCTAATTATTTGTTGGTTAAGATAATTACTGACTTACTAACCATGTATGAGGCACACTCCAACACATACTCATTTATGGTAAAATATAAAATTGTATTAACAGAAAAGAGGAATAATGTATTGGCACTCTTGGCCTATTAGTAAAATAAACCACAAGACATAAAGCTGATACTGTCAGGGTTAAAATATCTTGGTAAGGCGTAGGCCTGGCAGACAGCTAGCAGCAACTTATCGCTTTCCAACCCCCTTATTATCAATTACTTAAAGCCTTCATTGTGTACAGTTGTTAATAATTGATAAACACGCACTTGAGATCAATAACTGTTTGCTGTACCAGGCTGTTGACATTTTAAATGCTGGTGTAAAGTCAGGCATTTTAATATGTGGTCTAATGGGGATTGCATGATGCAAACCAATTTTAACTGTTCCAGGGCAACATGTTCTTCAACGTGGAAATCATCCATAATGCAGTGGTTTCAGATGAACATTCCCCAGCTGTAGCCTTGAATTTCTTTATTTATTTGCAGTTAGATTTGACAGTGAAGGATCCACTTAAACTATACACAATGTCATTTACAGGTTTGATTACTGATTCAATTCTCAGTGTACCAAGATACATTTTTTTTTTTTTTTTTTTTTTTTAAATACAGGGTGCAACTTGGGGGCAAATGGTAAAATTATTTTAAGTAATTATGCCGACAAAGAAGCGCTTCAGTCTACTGTCCTATATCTTCATTAAGGGAGATTTATTTTTCAGGATTCAACTCTGTCTTGTTTGATACTGGCAAGGCAAATATTCTATCATCCTGATCATTTTAGTTTCTTGTTCTTTATTCATGAAAAACCTGAACTCTGTCTCCTGGGTGTATGCTCCTGTTTCAGCCTGGCCAGCATGGCTCCTGTGCTGGCCTGCCGCGTGCTGCCCAGCATTGAGGTGACAATGGGCTATGAGCGGGATGAGAACACCCGCTGGGGGGAACTGGCCTCACACCAACATGGTGCAGGCTGTGAAGAGCATGGGTGCTCGCCACAACGTCCGTGAGCCATATATATCCTTTCAGAGCTGTCTTTTTACTTGCAGTATGAGTTGTTGACTTAGCCTACCCCGATTTATGTGTATTGATTGTTTTTTTGTTCTGAGTTTGCTTCTGCTTTGGCCTTAACCTTTTTCTCTTACGAAGCCTATGTGGATGAGAAGAACAAAGTGGTCAGCACCCCGAGCTTCATGTGGGACACAGAGTATCATTACCACTATATATTTGATGGCATTGGAAACATGGTCAAACACGTCATGCGTATGTCTACCAAGTGAATAGACAGTCTGTCTGAAGTCTGAAGAAGAAAAACAGGAAGTCGGTGTTTAAGTACAGCATACACCGCTGTACTGGTACCGTTTACCTTCATACATGAAAAATAATAAATGCTTTAGTAAGAGAGCAAAGTTCTTGTCATGTTTTGATGGTATAAATATAGGCTATGTAAAAATTATTTTCTTCATCACCGAAAACACATTGTATACAGCAGACATGGGCTACTGTAGATGTAAATTAATCTCCTTTTTATTTTGTTTTAATCACTGAACCTCTAAAATTCAAAATCTGTTATAATCTGTGATGTCAGCTAAAATGGGACATCTGGTAAAATGGGCCAAATAAGGTTTGAGTATCATAGAACAGTTTATTGCCAATTCCAATAACTGATCTTGAATTGTTGCTTTTAATTGGTCTGAGCTGGGCGGGGCAGAGAGTTACACAAGTGAAGGAGGAAAATTGGAAAGAAAGTGAGCATGGGAAAGCAAAAGGGAGTCTTCCCTAATGAGGAGGGGGACACAGCAGTTATCACACTAAGTTTACAGACAAAGTAAAATATTTATGATCAGGGATCTGACGGGCTCGTTTAATTAAAAAGGCTAGTTTTTTGTTAAAAAAGTCATTTCAGACTCTGGCCTATTAAAGTTTAACCAGCAAGGTGAAGTGGGCCACATAGGGGCGATGGTGGCCAGGTGGTTAGTTCGTGCACCCAGTGTACTTTTCCCTGCTCTCTCTCTCTCTTAATTTCAACTCTATTCACTGTCCACCTAATAAAAAAAGAAAAAAAAAAAAAGAAAAAGGATAAATAATTTATTTTATTTTTTTAAATGAGGGCACTGGTGGCTTACGGTTGGTGCGCCCTTCCCATGGGTGAACACTGTGGTCCTCTGGGTGGGCAACCTGGGTTCAGGACTGGCCTGTAGCTCCTTTTGAACCTGAAGTCACTTATCTTGAAAAGCCCAAAAATGAATATTTAAAAGAAAAAAAGGGCCACATAAATATACACTCTTACACAGGATTTAGGCAGAGAGTTATTGTGGAAAACAGGTTTATAGGTCTTAATATTAATCAGTGACAAATCTTACTAATCCTCTTTTTTTTTTAATGAATTGCAGACAGTATGGAAGGAAGATAGGGAAAAAGTGAGAGAAGAAAGACAAAAAAAAACCAACGTATTTTTGTTAACCAAAAAAAAACAGCCTACAACTAAAACATGTCCCCAAAGTTCATTATGTAAGAACTGTTAGTGTTTGTTATGCATGCTTGGTACCAGAGCAGGACACCTGTGACTCACCATCCACAAAAAGGTATGAATCAGTCTGCTGAAATGCAGGTAGAGTCTGGAGACAGCATGAACAAGAGCCATACTAGATGACTGACGGAACTTATGGTCTGTCTGTTTATAATGTTCACCTGGACTCAAATATCTCAACAATTTGAACTTGAAATAAACACAAGATACCTGTGCCCTAATGAAAGTATGAGTGCTGGGTGAAGAAACCCCTCATCCCAATTATTCCCCCATACCTTAGCGATAAGTTACATAACCTACCACATGGCCCGCAGTTGCTACTGTAATTAAAACAGCCCCCTTCAACAGACCAAGGCTCAGTTTCTTCAAGCTAACCAGGGAGTAAAAACGGCAACACTAACTACCTAACACATGGCCCCTATTGGCCCTCACAACTCAACCAGACTGATGGGCCACAAATGCCAGGACATCACCAGGGTTGGCAAGTGGGAACCTCCGATCCCCAAATTAGTTAAAGGATGGACAGTTAGCTCTGGCACACCAGAGCCGCCCCCCTCCATGCTTGCTTACAATGCCTACCATACATATATGCAGAACTTCTATATCCTCACTATTTTACCACATGGCCATCACAGCAATGACCCTTCAAAACAGACCCAGGCTCTGTACATGCAAGCTCAAGATGGTTACAACTCTGATATACCTAACCTTCCACATGGCCCATAATGGCCCCCCACAACAAAAATGCAACTATTTCTAGTTCCTAACATTATACACAAAGAAGACGACAAAGAGAAAACAAGAGAAAATAGAGACACATTTTCAGAGAAACCTAAGAAGGGGGTGAAGGACAGCCACGGTGAGGAGCTCTGATCAGGGCTAGCACTCACCGGATCTGTCAAGGTTCGGTGTGTAAAACGGAGGTGTGGACCGAAGTGCAGAATAACAAAAACTATTTATTTTTTTAAACAAAAACTTACTATCAAAATCCAAAACGAAGAAACAAGGAGACATTAGTAAACTGACGACCGACATAGACTGACAACTAACAAACGACATACAATGAACTGACACAGAAGGGAAGAAACACAGAGACTAAATAGACACAGGGGTAATCAAACACAGGTGAGACTAATAACACAGGTGAAGACAATGAGGGTAATCAACAGAGGGAAACACACAGAGGCAGGAATACAATACAAGAAACACTGAGGAGAACTACAAACTAAATCATGAAACACTAAGACAAAAACACACAAGGGAAACAAGCAACACAAAGATAGACAGGAGAAAATAAAACATGGAAACCTAAAAACTGAAATACAAAACTAAATAAGACCAAATCATGACAGGATCGGGCTGTTGCCTAACCTCTTCTACTCCAAAATTTTCATGAGAAAGCGAGGTGATAACAGAGAAAAACAAAAAGGAGATTGATGCTTTTATTCTGGACCCAACTTGCATTATTTCTCCAAATCCAAAGATGTTTCATCTGACATCTCCCTTACTGTCTTTTACAAACGTTGTCCCCCTGCAGTCCCAGCTCTCCCGGATAGCTGATCTTGCCATGAAACCTACATCACACTTTACCAGACAAACCCTAACTTTCCATCCTTGCTGCTCATCTTTTGCCTCTAAATCTGCATATCTAAGCTTTTTCCTTTCATATGCTTCCTCCACAGAGTAAGACCAGAGAAATGTCAGTTCTATGAAATAAACTATCTGCTGACTGACAGACCATAACACTATGTCAGGCCTTTGTTTAGTGCAAACTTTTTCCTGTGGAATGACGAGTTTTATTCCCAGATCTACCTGTATATGCCAATCATTAGCACCCTTTAGTTGACCGGTCAGCTACTTGCCTATAAAAACCTATCCACTTTATAGTTATCTCCCTCACAGACAAACTGATTGGATGCAATCTTTACCTGATACCTCCTAAATAGACTTGTTGTCTGACATACTTCTGCATGGTCCTACTCCTTGCTTATAACATTAATATTTGTTCTTCCTGTTTCATACGTAATTGTTACTGCTAATACTACACATACTTTAAATTGTAGCTACAAATCTATCTTATTCATTGTTGTTGCTCTGTTTGTCTCTCTCTTCTTCCTGTATCTTCGTCTGTCTGACTTTTCAAGCCCAACACAGTATTGGCAGACAGCTGGTTTTGCTCAGGGTTTCTGTGCCACGTTGAAAAACAAAGGAGGTGGACCCAAGTGCAGAACTAATAAACAAATATGGATTTAAAAAAAGCCAAAAGTAAAAAACAAGGCTTACTTTTCCAAAAGTCCAGCCAAAAATCCACAAGGAGAAAACCATGAGTCAGGAGGAAATACCGACTCTGGAAACAACTAACATGGACCAACAATTGACAATGAACTAACAACAGGGGGGAAGGAACACTGAGACTAAATAGACGTGGGGTAATCAGACAAAGGTGAGACTAATGACACAGGTGAAGACAATGAGGGTAATCAACACAGAGAGACAGGAATTAAGGTTTAGGGCAAGAAACACTGAGGACTATAACTACAAGACACACAGAACTCAAGAATGTAACAATGACAATACACACTAGACTAGAACATAGAGAAACACAAGGATGAGAAATTACAAAATAAAACAGGACACACTAAAGACCAAACTAGGAAACACAACATACAAGGGAAACAAGCAACAGTCGGATAGATAATCAAGTAAGACAGAAAATGACAACTAAGCTTCCTCTTAAAGGAAGTTTTCCCTTGCCACTGTAATTTTGCTAAATGTTGTTTAGTGCTCTGCTCATGGTGGATTAATTCTGGGTCTTATAGATAACATAACAAAGAGTAAGGTATTTTACTTTTAAGTGTCTTGAGTTAACATATGTTATGAATTGGCTCTATACAGATAAAGATTCATTGATTGATTAATACTGCCTTACTGATACAACCAGTTACTTTTTGATCAATCAATAAAAACAAGTGTACAATTTGTTTGGTTGTAGCAACTATCTTTTTTCATGCTCAGAAGGTGGTTTGTTGTTGTAATCCTCATGTCCACCACAAGAGGCTGAAGTGCACCACTGATCCATGCCGAAAACAAGACTTAAAATATTCATGTTTTCTTTCAGGTGAGTTTTAATTTCTCTGGGCATTCTTAACAGAGGGCATGATAATACTGTATATTGTGTGTTTGAAAGTTATCCAGCATTGATTTTATGACTGTGACTTTGTGTTGCTTTGTCTGATGTTCATCAAGTAGAATCCAATGTGACACAGGTGTCACAAGCTGTTCTGGAAAGTAACATAAACTAATTAAGCTGATTCAGTTTTATTGAAATATTGAACTTTATATTTGTATCTCCTGAAACTCTCCCATCAAACCAAAACTGCACTTTGGCTGGTTGTCAGCTTGAAGATGGTAAACCTTTTGCAAAGAGAGGCAGAGGACCTGTTAATGCTAGATCTCGTCTGTGCAATTTAACCTCAAGACAAAGCTTGGACTAAATCAGACAAAGAAGGCCTACTGCCGGAGGTCAGCAGACCACACATTGTGAAGGAGTACAACAGATTGATGGGGGGAACTTGATAGTCCACCTTGATGCATGCGTCACAAGGAAAAAGTCCCATGAGGTCGCAGAGATGAAACCTCTGCTTGTTCTGGCAAACCACAATACTAGTAGGGCTTGTAAATACAGCATGGTTAATCTACCACCCTGACTGTTGGTGTCTACAAGACATTGAAACAAAGAACCTTCCAGAAGCCTCATTGTATCTCCATCACCACCACCCAAAAGAGTTTGTGTTGGATTTCAAGATGATGTTAAGCCTAAGCATAAGCCAAGTTGCATTCTGGCCAGTGAGTGAAGTGTGACTGCCACTAATGCTGATAACAATGATTCAACCAAGGTGCTGCTGATGCTACAAAACTTATGGATTTTATATTTTTTGCACTGTTTTGTCAAGTTTATCTAAAATATATTTTGCTCAGTTTTCTGAGTAAACATCCAACAGACTGTTTTTTTTTCTCGTATTCATTCAATTAGCAAATGTGTGTGTTGTATAACACCTCTTTAAAAAAGATATAATTAAACCTAAGAATTTCAGTTATAATTTTGCCATTTGTTGTGGAAATGCAAATACAAAAAATCTGTTAGTAAGCAAAATAGAAGTGTCAAGCTGATTTATTTGATGAGGGTATACATTTACCATAAATGTAACGTACATGTAACAATACAGATCTTTGACACTAGGGGGTGGTATTAAAAAGAAAAGTTCTAAGTGGTCTGTTTAGTGTGAAGTAATTCATCTTTAAGGAGAAATGGGTCCAGGTTCTCATGGGTATTAATATAGGTAAAACATTATCTTGGCAAAATAAAAATTATATATATAAATATAAATTACAAACCTTTTTTCCAAATCATAAATTCAGATTTTTTTCACTTGTATGTATCCATCATCCGTTTCTCCGAGTTTATATTTTTCAAACACATTAAATATTAAAAAATATTTTCACTTAAAAGCATGTTTTTTAAATTAGCCAATTCAAAACAGTAAGCATTCAATAATACTCCATAAGATGGTGTCAAAAACTCATGTTTCAGACATATTCAGCACATTATGTATTTTCTGTCAGCTAACAAAGGGCACTGACAGGTCAAAAAGGGTAAAGAGATGGAGTAGGAAGTGGGGCTGCATGAGAAAGAGAAAGTGAAGGTGTGCCAAGTAGAAAATGTGAAATGATGGGTCAATCAGGTTTAATATGATTTTTAAGTATTAGAAATGTGGCCCTGCAGAAAACGAATCAGGTCTTTTTTTTTTTTAAACTCAGAATAAACAATTTATTCATTATAAACATATAAAAATGACAAAAACAACAACGTGGCAAGATATAAAAATTTCCAGTTTGTACAAAACTTCCAAAACCATCATCAGAAATGCAGACTCTGTTGAATATTTTCATTGGGGCTATTTAAGTCAATACAGTACAAATGTTGAACTAAAAAAGCTCTTGTCATTTTGTAGTATAAAAAAACACAAATAAGTAGCCTAATGAACACAAAATTCAAAACAGACCAGAAGTCAATGAAATATTCACAGTGTTGCCTTCACATCAGTGATGTGAATTGTAAACATCGTTGCATATCAAAACTCACTTCAATAAATATACAAAGATAGTCATTATGTGAGCAGAACTTGAATCTTTTTTTAATCCTGTGATTAGTTTGGGTTTTTTTCTTAGCTTGTCAGCTAAACCTTCAAATAGCCCACATGTTCTTCTCTAACAAAAATAAGGCAAAACTCTTTTCCCTGTGTTTCTTATGAAGTTTCTCTGTAATAACAGAGGCAAGGTTAGACTGATTCAGGTGGAGTAAAGTAGCATGTTCTCATCTGATGAAGTGATTAAGTGGAAAATACAACAGTAGGAACATTCACATTAAGGTACATATAAACATTTGTACATTTAGGAAAAAATAATGGTAGGCTATTTGAAGGGATTTGATTTATAAACTCTCAACAAGGGAACTAATGATTCATAAAATGTGTAAAGTTTGAAATGAGTTCATGGAATCAGCAGGAAAAATCAACAGGGGCCAATAAAATCTTCTTTTAAATACAGTCATCTTAAGTTTTAAGTTATAAAGTTTTATATCATGAGCTGCTCTAGGCTCATGAACAAAGTACACAACTCAGAGTTGCCTGATCATGAGATCTTTAAGCACTGTTACTTTAGTACTTGACCAATATTACTATGACCAATATTGAGAGGGAGATGGAGGTGAAAATGCATTAAGAACCATTTGAATGGCTACACAGTTCACATTTAAGGGGTTCCATCCAACAAATAGATATTTTCTTGGGCCAGACCATCAATCGACATAATATTGCAGCTTTTATAAATCGTCTTCAAGGAGAAATGGGTTCTGGTTAACTGTCAACTGTAAACATGCCTTAGTCAATGGTGAGTTTTTCATTTTTTTAAAGGGGCCCTTTGTGGCTGATTGTCAAGGTCTAAGAAAGAAAATCCCAAAGTACAGTTGCATGAGCTACTTCGAAAAATAAATAATCCCTTCTCAGTTTCATTATGCAGAGCAGAAGTGAACAAGAACATGAAAAAAAGAATGTCTTCTTATAACAACTGAGGAGAGTCAGTTTGTCACATTTGATGGCACACAGCATGAAGTCTCTTTAAGTATGGTAAATGTATTCTGATCGACAGAGGATGGGTTCTGAGTGGGGTGTGACACTGTCCAGGACCACAGTGCTGTAGGCTGTTGATTTTAAACTTCTATTTGGTATCTGTCTTAGACATACCTGTGAAAACAGAGACAGAGAGCAGAACAGCATAAGGAAAACATTCTTAAAAAGCCAAAGTTAAAACATTTTTTTTTCAATCAAGCAGCACAGGTTTTGATAGGCATAAGTAGCAAAGCAGATGGGTGATACAGTGGAAGGCAGGAAAAGGATGAAGGCAGGCAAGTAGAGGCAGGTGGAAAATAAGAGGTGAGAGGGCAGGGCAAGTAACGGACCGAGTTAAGCTGCTAGAGCAGTGCTGAGTTGGAGTCAGAGTCTGTTTCATGGCCGGGGGCGAGGCAGGGCGCACGTAAACAGATGGACTCCTGAGTCTGTCTGTACTCTTGGTACTCCTGACGGAGAGCGTTGAAACGCGCCTCGCTCAGGGAGCGGCTGTACTGGCGTGGTGTGTTGGAAACAGGCGGGCTGATTGAGGGAGACGGGCCTGAGGAGGGGGAATCAGGGAGAGGAAATGCATGGATGGGCACGTCATGAGACAAGCTCACAATGATCACAGCACAAGGGCACAAGGTGAACACATGCAGCACCACATCAAGCATTACACTCATAATGACACATGCAACATCAACACACACACTGAGAATGTGAGGAAGAAATTTACCTTTCTTTTGGCGGTCCCGGAGGCCACCAGTTTGATCATTTCTCAGCTCTGCCCTGCCTCTCCGTAAACCCATCTGTGACTGATCAAACCTTGAAGCCTCCAGGACCTCTAAGTCCATGCATGCATCAGCAGAGTCCCACTCATAACTCTCATCTACTGATGTGTTCCTTCTAATGAGATACACAAAACAAGAGTCAGATGACAGTAACACAAACAAGAAACAAAATTAAATTAATTGTAATTTGGCAATAAAATAAATCCTTCTGATGAGAAGACACTCCAGTGTATTTTTAGTAATGGTCCAGGTGTGGGGGTGTTTCACCTTTTCGCTCTCCTCTCAGGCAGCTCCGTCTCTGCTCGGTGTCGCTCACTCTCCTCAGTGGTTTCGGGGGAGCTGAGCAATGTGGGGGTAATGGACAGGGACTGACGGAAGAGACCGGCGCTCCCTCTCCCGCTGCTCTGACTTGCATAGCTTGCTCTTCCTCCCT